TCTGGCCACAGAGCCACACTTCAGCCTGGCCTTACACAAGGCCAGGGACCTGAGTGATGGCTCCTCTCCTACAGAGGAGCCTGAGGAAGCAATCCATTTATCCTGAGTGATCTACCCTACCATAACACCCTCATCCATGAGGTTCCACACAATTTCCAGCGAAAGTCAATTAAGGCTGTAGTGAATGAAGCCATTCACAGAATAATTCCAGATTAATTAGCAGCACACAGCCACATTACAAGTAACACGGTATTGCAAGGCCAGCCACTCCATCATCACCAGTTGTCCATTTCCGTAAGGCTGGGGAGCTGAGCAACAGTGAAACCTCCAGGGCAGACCTCTCGTGTGGGGCACGCATGCACCCAGGCAGCACCGCGCCCCACAGACTTCTGCTGCCTGCACCCAGCCGCCGTCGGCGAGCAGAGAAGGCAGCCTGCCCTAAACGCTCCTTGCGCACAACCGAGCCATCGCCCAGCCCAAAGAGTGACCATGCTTTTACCTAATCGACTCTTCAGTGTCCTTCTCTGCACATTTTACCCAAGCTGAGGCCAGCCCTCCCTGATCTCGGTGCGGGAGGCTGCCCCACCACAGGGAGCTGGCCTGAGAAGGGACTCCAGCGCCTCCCTTCTCACGTGCCAGACCATCACCGCTCGAGACGTTTCACGTTTTTCTTTTCCTCTTGCTGCGCTGCTGCTCAGCGGCTTGTTTTACTCAGCCATGCTGGCTCGAAATGGTAGCAAGGACAGGAGAGTCACAAATTTAGGACTGGAGGGTTGTGGGTTTTGTTTTGTTTTGTTTTTTTCTCCTTTTCCTTCTGCTTTCGCTCCCACTGCTGGCATCAGAGGAAGGAAAGAAATAGGTCCAGACAGACAGCACACAGTTATCTACTGGTATTAGCTATCTGTCTTGGAACTGGGAATATCGTCTCCGGTTGTGCTTGCAGACAAAGTTTAGAAGGACATGCCCCTGGCAAAGTTCGGACCCAGGCTCTTCAGGGAAGGCAACGCAGCTGGGAACTTGCCAGCAGGGTTGGGACAAGGCACCTCCAGAAGAGGCTGAGCAGCAACGAGAGCTGGGCTGGGCACCCAGGACAGGGAGCCCAGCCCCATACCCAGCCGGGATGGGGGACTCCAGAGCTTCCTCCCCCCGCTCCAAGGGCCATGAGCCAGGCTGTGCATCCACACGGATGGATGCTCCTTGACAGCACAGGCCAACAATTAATGCTTTAAATGCCCCTGGGGCCTGTTGCTCACTGCGCTCTAGCTGGGCTGCAGCATTTTAGTTTCAGATCACTCAAACCCCTGCCCCAAGGCCTCCCTCGCCCACCCACATCTCCCTCCTGGCAGGGAAGGCTGCAGTTTTCCAGCACAGCTCCCTCCCTCCCTCCCGTGCCTGTCACTGAGGCATCCCAGCCCCGCAGCCATTTAATCTGCACCCTGGGCTTTGACAAAGCGATTCTCCATTTAAAGTGGTACTTGAGACAGTTTGGGGAGGAAATGGGAGAGGGCCAAGTCCCAAACCTGGCAGGTCACTGCTGCTGCAGCCCAGGAACCCAGCTGGAACTGGCTCTAATGGCCCCTGCCTTCACGCTGCCCCGGGGGAAGCCGCAGCAGGAAGGAGCGAGCGCTCAGACGCTCTCTGTGCAGGAAGGCGCTCGGCAGCAGGACCAGATGCTGCAGGTTTAGTGATTTACCTCCCTCTCCCTGAGGCTGTGACAGGGCTGATTGCTCTGCCCCTCGCTTCTGCTGTTACAACAGCCTGCGAGGGCCCCGCTCTAACCTGCATTGCCACAATCTATTTTTTTTTTGTTTAGCCAGGTTTATTGTATTTAATGATCCGGTTTACAGATCTGTTGTGCCAACCCAACAGCCCTGTGCAGGGACAGGAACGTTTTAAATCAACTTTACCACCATCCCTTTCATCTTCTGAAGCTATGTCTACGCACCCCCTCTCATTCAGACCGTTCCAACGCCTCCGGGATCAGCCCCAAGGCCAGATCACGCAGGCAAACAGAGCTCCAGCATCGATTTCCAGGAACGACTCTTTCACATGGCTGTACTTATTACAGCATTCATAACCGCTCACCTACTCGGACCATCCCCAAAATCCCAGGAAGGCCCACGTGAGGCATTCAGCAGCTCTGGAGATCCACAGAGCAGCTGATCTGGAGCCACGAGAACTTGCTAGCTCAAGGTTGCACTCTGCAAAGTGGGAAATGCTGTGGGAGAACAATTCCTGCCCTCTCATGGGGATGGCACAAAAAGGTGGGAAGGTGGGAAGTTGAAGTACTGTCCCAGTGGGAAAAAACAAAGAGACAGAAGCCTCTGTCCACCCCGCATGGGGCAGAGCAGCATCCGAGCCGCACACCAGCTCACACACAGCAATGCAAAGGGCACAAAAAGCAGCCTGAGCTGGAGAGGGCCAGCGTGCCGGTGGCCCGCAGGGGTCGGGGCAGTTCTGCTCCGTACCGTAGCAGCACGGGGCCAGCTGGCCTCAGCTCAAGATGAGCTGATGATGGGAAAGTGATTTCAATGTCATTTGAAGGGCGTGCTGTTCACAGAGTTACCCCATACGTTTCTGCAAAACGCTTTGGAAAAAAGACCGAAGTATCTGAGCCTGTAAACTCCCAGGCGAGCGTAACGCCGCTCCTGTTTTTAACAACATACACGCAAGGCATCGGCACAGCAGCACCCGCATTCCATGCACCACGAACGCGCTTCCGTCCCTTCGCACGGTGATCCCCGCTCAGGCTTGCAAAAGCTGCAGCCTCTGCACCCTAACACCCAAAGCAGGTTCATGCTCACCCTGACCCCTTAGCGTGACTGCGCCCGCACATGCGGCAGCGCATGGTGATCTTCATGCCTCCTCCTTTTGCACACCCACCCACTTTTTTCCTCCTACCTACACTTAAGTTTCTTAAGGAGAAGACTCCCCCCCCCCCCCGACATTCGGTCAGACAGAAATCCCTCCCTTTGGGAGCCGTAGACAGGCGTGCTGCTCCCCCGAGTTTACCGTAAGCTGCACCCTCCCCGATCCTTGTTTGCCAGCACCGGCCTCGCTGGCTGCGCCGTACCCCTCGTGGCGAACCCCAGCACTTCCTTCCCCATCGCTTCCACCCAGGGTCTGACCCAGCCCCGACCACAACTTCTAACTGAGACTTGCTCATCAAGGTTTAAAGCTCTGCCAAGACAGGATGAAAGGGACAAGGTTACGACCAGCAGGGGTCATGCTCCGGCTTTTTATGCCACGGCTGTAGCACCCGAGTACGTGAGCACCCAGGGCAGTGCGAGGGGCCACGGACCAGAAGATGAACACAGCCACAAGTTCCTCACTCAAAAAGCAGATTTTCTGGGGACAAGCTGGAAGACAGGTGAAGTCAGTTTTGACAATCCATTGATAAAACAGCTTCTAGACATCCATCGCCTCCGCTAACCTCACTGCCCACCAACTCCAGAGACTGGAAATGAAAGCGAAGAGGAGAGTTTGTTTGCACAGTCGTTAGCTCCAGACCCAGAAATACCACGTTCAGGCCAGGAACAGAACTAGCTTGGCTCAACCCACAGCCTCGCGTTGGGAATCGGTGACGCTTTGAAAGCACACAAACAAAGTGTGTTGTCTTCCTCCAAAATTCCCCCGTGCTGGGCCCTGCCAGCTGCCCGGGTGACACGCCGAGGGTGCTGCAACACCAGATTTCAGGTAGGGAGAGTCACTCAGCGTCGGGGGGGTCTGCAGCGCTGCTGACAGGACAGGCCGATGCTCTGGCACAGCCGCGACGCGTACGGCCCTCGCTGCGCCTAGGGAAGGAGGGAACAGCAACACACGCACGCGGACTGCAGCACATGGATAATCTTTATTGGTAACATCAGTGGAGCACCAGTAAACCATTACTGACTGTAGTGGTGACACACAGCTGAGGCACATGCTAAGGCACTTTTATTATATAAAAAAAAAAAAAAAATTTAATTTTTTTTGTGACAGCAATGGGGACACGAGGCTCCTGCATTTAGAGCGCTTCAGGCATACAGTATGGAGCTTCATATTTAATTATTTTTACTTCGCTCATAAGTGGGTCTAAATGCAGCATATACAATATGGTTAAGAATACAGGTAAATCCAGCAACCAGTGTACGGTGTAGAAAAGTAAAGACTATCTATATATAACCATGGTCCCAATAAAAAGGCAGTGATAAAGACCTTTATTTTATTTTTTTTTCTTAATTACTTATTACGAGATACACAAAGGCCTTACATATATCTGTGCAGATTAAAGGGTTTTTAATATACTCTTAGTCAATGGTGCACAATAACTAATCCCAACCCCTGGTTACAGAGCAGGCGCGAGAGGCTTGGACATGTCAATAAAAGAAGGATTTCCCTCCCCTTACCCCCACCCTCTGCCCACTACCCTGTTAAATTTCCCCAGATTCTGTCTATTACCATTAAATATATTTGGTCCCCCAGAGATTCTCAGACAAGCACAAGGACATTATTCTGCTTCCCCAGCCTGTCATTAACTACTGGTCCACGCTACCTCAGATGAAACCGCTCAGACGCAGAGATACTAACAGGACATCATTGCACTTCAGAGATCTGTCCAGACAGTAAAAATAAGTAGAGAAAAAAGACAAAAAAAAAAAAAAAACCAAAAAAAAAAAAAAAAAAAAAGACACCTTTGGCAAGTCCTCCAGGTCACTGGTCCCGAGAGGAGCTTCCCTCTTCACCCCTCCCTGGAAACATATGAAAGAAGAAAGGGCAAATTGCCATGGCCAAAGCACACCGTTTTTCCTGAAACTGCTCCCAAACCACGTGGGTGGGCAGATTAAAAGAGGCAGAAGTCTGAGGTCACTGAACATGATTGCCGAAAGCAAACAAAGAGGGAGGGGAAAGAATACAGGAAGGAGCTTCCCTGCAGCTAGAAATCGAAGACAAAAGGAGATTTACAGCAAAAATAATCTTT